TTTTTTTTTTTTTTTTTTTTTTTTTTTTTTTTTTTTTTTTTTTTTTGCTTAGTTTGAACGACGAAATCCAAACGAGCATGGCAATATCACCGAGATAGATTTTACGGAATTGTTATTGGCTTATGCTGGATATCCAGCGAAAAAGAAGGCAAAAATGTTGAAGAGAGTGAAAAAAACGTGAGTGTGAAAATATTTAATTTTTATAACCATAAAATCTAAAATTTTTAAATTATATCATATATATTAAATCATAATTATTTATAGTTTTAAAGAAGATCCGAAAGGGATCAGCAAAGAAGAATATCTCAAGTTTTTCCATTTTTTAAACAACATTAATGATGTTGATACAGCCCTGACATTTTATCATATAGCCGGTGCATCTATCGATCAAGGTATATAAAATAATAGAATTGTCGGTTGATTAAATATTCTAATCATCTTGAAACTCTGAAACAATAGAATAATTTAGAATATTAATTAATTATGGTTCGTCGATTGTAAAAAACAATCGGTAATAATTAAAAATATCAAGCATTTTTATTGCTATATTAATTATTTGGATATATAATTGTGCAATATGATATTGCAGCGACATTAAAACATGTAGCAAAAACTGTAGCACATGTTGATCTAAGTGATCATATCATTCAAGTGGTATACACGATTTTCGACGAAAATAGTGAGTTGATTTTTTATTATAATAGAAATACTGTATTTAATTTAATACATACTCTACTAAGAAAAGCTTAATTTTCTTACAAGTTATAGCATGATATAGCATTAAATGTATCTTAAATGTGTATTAAATATGTAAAATGTATTTAAAACATGATTAAATTGTATGATGGATCTTGTTCTACAGTGGACGGACAACTTAGTAATCGAGAATTTGTCGCTGTGATGAAGAACCGTGTACTGCGTGGTCTAGAAAAACCAAAAGATACTGGATTTGTCAAGTTAATTCAATCCTTGATGAAGTGTGCGAAAAACAGCAATCTCCTGTCGTACGATAAATAATTGAGTATTTAAATGCTACTTAGTCTTCTTTAGATATCTGTTGTTAATAATATACAGAAATATACAGAGAGAGAGAGAGAGAGAGAGAGAGAGAGAGAGAGAGAGAGAGAGAGAGAGAGAGAGAGAGAAATAAAATATTATGCAAAATACAGAATAATAATGTTTAAAACAAGTTTGCAATTGTATTATAATATTTAATATAGCACATTATTTGTAAACTAGAAGGTAGACAGTTATGTTAAAAATAAAATTTACATCAATGATGCATTACATTAGTACACTTTCACTCTTGTATTAAATAGAGCATATTATCCGACAAAAAAACGTGTGATGCAGAGACCATAATTTCTCCTATTTAATACGTCCTCCTCTTCAGTAGTTTACCATTCACTCTATAAGACAACAACGGATTGCAAGTTTATAGTTATATTATTAGATATAATGCGGATAAAATATAATTTTAATTTATTTTTTATACAAATGGCAACAATACTGCTTTTCATAAATTTTGTCACACCCCATTTATTGGAAAAACGTACAGAAATGACTTTGACAGGTAAATATATATATAAATCGTGATTCGATTGTGTGCATTTTATATAACAATATTATATGTACGTACATGTATATTAATTTGTTTTAATTATGATTATAAATTCACAAATTGTGAATAAAGAAGGGACCTCAAAACAGAAAAGAGCATCAGATATTTTGTCGATGGGACAATACTTTCAGTGAGTCAAATCTTCTATGTATCTATTTATGAATAATTGGCACTAAATTTTTCAAGACAGAATTTTATTTCTAATTTTTGTATGCCATGCATTTTTACATATACATATGTATGAATTTTAATACGTATATGTATATGTGTAAATATCTTTTGTTTCATCCGGCACACAAGTAGTTCGAACGGAATCTTATAAATTCTGATGCGAATTATAGATTGTTTAAAGTGAATTAAATATAAGACATAACATTTATGTAAAATGACAAAAAAACTGTAAATGTATTTTGATGATGAACTGTAAATGTTTATTGTAGAGATATATTTTCGGAACATTTGGCACCTCTTAAACTTGAATTTGGTTATGTCTGTGAGAATCCTATCGAATGGGAACAAAGGTTCGAACGAAAAGATTTTGACAACAACCGTTTTAGCGGCAAGGTAATTATCTTATTTCGTCATCATACACAAGTATATTCCTTTATATACGTACATCATAATTTTAACTTGTCAATATTATTTTGTATTTTATGTACGTCTTTGTATTTTATATCATTTTGTAAATTAAAACTATTAAAGTAACGTCTTGAATAATTATCAATTTATTAATATCTGTTTAAATGTAATTTATTATTTATAATTCACATAACTTTTTTTAGGTGAAATGGGGTAACAAAAATGGAGAGTACGGCGAACAGTATTGGGACTTGAATCATTAACTTTAGTAAAGACTAGTAATTATTCATAAAGAAAAATAGCAAGGATTTGTTTAAATAAAATTCCTTGTTTGAAATAGTTTCTATTATACAATTTATTCTAATAAAATAATTATTATGAAGAAAAAATGTTTTAAACAATTACACGAAAGATTAAACATTTTTAATTATAAATTGTAAATTATAAATAATTGAAAGTGAGGTATAAAAAGAAAAAGAGTTGAATGTGAAAGAGTTGTATGTGAAAGAAGAATGTACTAGTTGGCAAAGCCGAGCATAAGCATCGGTGGTTCAGTGGTAGAATGCTCGCCTGCCACGCGGGCGGCCCGGGTTCGATTCCCGGCCGATGCAAAATTATTATTTTTGTCTTTGTCCATGAAAATGTGAAATCAATCGCGAGACAGTAGAGAAATCGAATTGTTGAGTTTCAAACGTTAATATTTTATGTAATAAAAAATTTAATAAAAAAGTATTTTATGCATCGGCCGGGAATCGAACCCGGGCCGCCCGCGTGGCAGGCGAGCATTCTACCACTGAACCACCGATGCCTCTGTGAATTCATGTCCGTACAAACTCAATACATAACGATCGAAATACGTGATAATTAAAATTGAAAGTCGTAAATTTTTTTTTTTTTTTTAATGAAAAAAATCAATAAAACTGAACATCAATTTTATCATGATCCATATATAATTTCGATGTCAGACAATTATGGAGATTGTAGACAGACTAGCAGTTTTTCCAACATCCAGCTCGCATACAAATGTGAAATGCCGTTTGACCTGTGCCCGTAGGGGTCGCGATTTGCTTTCGAAACGGATCGATGGTCTCTTAATTCGATTTCGCGAGATTATGTTGCAATTACTCAAGAATAAATTGCAGCTTGGCCAAGTTATGAGAGACGCGGCCTTCTCGTTGGTCGAAGTTAATTACGCGACAGGTGGAGTAAACGAGCTGGTCCTACAGGCGGTCGACAAGGCCAAAACCAAGATTCGAACCAGACAGGAGATGATCGGTGGGATTCGACTATGGATTTACGAGGCCTTCCGCAGTGGCGCCGATCCCTTCAAATTTACCGGATTGGCCAGAGGCGGTCAACAAGTGATTATGTGCATTTAGCACCATTATATGCATGCAGTATACATATGATAAAAAGCTATATGATAAAAAACAATTAACCGTTTTGCTTTTATCAATTGAGTAAATATTGTTGTCCGTTGGTGATGTTCCGCAAGCTTCTATATACACATATCCCGATACTTCGCAACAGGTGGCTAGATTGAAGATCAATTATGGAAAGGCAATAGATCTGTTGGTCAAATTGGCGTCATTGCAGCACAACTATCGGATCCTCGACCGAATAATCAAGACAACAAGACGTCGCGTAAACGCTCTTCGTTACATTATTATACCTCGGTTAGAACGGACCCTCGCATATATTGTCACCGAACTTGATGAGTACGAGCGAGAAGAATTTTATCGCCTTAAGAAGATACAAGAATGGAAAACGAAGCGATCATATGACAGTCGACAGTCTTCTTCTTACCATTTCATTCGGAGTGCCAATGTCCTACTAGACGACACGGACGAGGATCTTCTCTTTTAATACGTGTGTGTGTGTGTGTGTGTGTGTGTGTGTGTGTGTGTGTGTGTGTGTGTGTGCGTGCGCGCACGCGTGTGTGTGTGTGTGTGTGTGTGTGTGTATTATAACAGAATTGTAATGATACACGATTCGAGAACACGCTTGAAGAAAATACAATGGTATGAATATCCACGATGATCCCCAGCAAACTAGAATGGATTGAAATGAATTGAAATGGATTTAGGTTTTCAGAAATATTGATTCACGGATATTAAAATGAATGCTTTTCAATCCTGAATGCATTTTTATTCATTTATAGGAATTGCATATCTGCCTTTTAATCTAAAAATAATATTATAACTTCTTCTATGCATTGTGAATACTGTTCAATTCAAAATTTTGAATAGGAAATACAGTTTTTTAATTCAATTGAATTTAATTGAATACAATTGAATCTAATTAAATCCAAAAAAAAGTATTTGCTATTTAAAATACGCATTCGGATAGAAAAAATTCAATCCATTTTAATCCATTCTCGTTTGCTAGGATGCTATCTTTATATATTTTGTGCTAATAATTAATTTATTTCCCTCTGTTCGAATTCTCAAGGAAGATAGTCACTCTGCGATAAATGAACCTCCGAACGAAGAAGGAAGCGCGAAAGAAAGAGAATACGAAAAAAGGGTGTTTCTACCAGAGCTGTGCAATTATACTAATTAAGAAAATACAGCCCGTAAAGCCAGTCTTAAATTAACTATAATGCTGCCAAACATCGGGATATGATAATAAAAACGTGACTGCTGTTCTTTCCTCTCTCCTAATCTCTCTACTCTTGACATCTCTCTCTCTCTCTCTCTCTCTCTCTCTCTCTCTCTTTTGTAGGTGTAGCAACTGCGTTAAAAAATGATGAAAATGATTTCTCCTTTCGCACGCGAAAATTTCAACTTGCCCAGGTGTTGTGCGTCTAATTTTCACGTCATATTAAATGCAAGCTCCAATTAATATTGATAATTTCCTTGTAAGAATGAATTTCTTTACTATTTGCAGCGCATTTCTCCAACCGCTCAAATTTAGGAATCTCTCTCTCTCTCTCTCTCTCTCTCTCTCATATTTTTTCTTTCATAAATAAGATACGCAAGTAATATAAAATGTAAAAGATATATAAAAAATGATTCCGCGCGACATATCGAACGCGAAATATCAGAGTCGATTGGACTCGATCGCCAAACGAAGAAGGCGCAGTGGCGCATATGAAATACGAAATGTGTATGTATATATAGGAGGACGACAGGACGGAAATCCCTATTCCCTGCCAGTGGAGAAAGAGGAATCATGCAGAGGAGAACAGAAGAGAGCTAAGAGGCCCTGTAAAGAGGCGAATAAGCGTGGGAAGGAGGGATAAACAGATGTCACTAGGGCGCAATCCGTAGGCGTCGAACGTGAGGCGTCGCGTCGCGTCGCGTCGCGTCGCGTCGGCGGTCGGGCGAGCGACGAGCGAAGAACGGCGAACGGCGAGCAATGAGGGAAGAGCGTTTAGTCGCACGGAAAGCTTCGACGAGGGAGGATCGCGCGTTCAGCCCGGCTATTTTTCGGCGATTAATTCGCCGATTAATTAAATTCACAATGATCCGACTGAAGGATCATTGTAACACGCGTTATCGTCTTCCATGATTGTCCGATCGCCAATGCTTTTATTGTGATCGATTCTATTTCTACATTTTACATTTGAAATCGCACTTCCACGGTTGTTTAAACGCGCGCGTGTCGCGCGTCACATATTGGATCGGCTGGCTCGTGAATTGTTAATTAAATCATTGCTGTGTGCGCACGTGCATGCGTGCGTGCGTGCATGCATGCGTGCGTGTGTACATGCGTGCGTGCCGTGCGTGCATGCATGCGTACGCATGTTCCTCGTGAATGGTTTACAAACTGTTCCTTTTCTGAGAGAAGAAACAATATAAGATGCCTGCGTTTCACGTTATACATATATGTAAAGTAAGGTTAATTATTTTTCAAATTTATTTCTAAATTATTAAATTAAAGTGTGTGTATGTGTATATGAGAGAAATCTACGTACATTTCATCAAGTTCAATCTGCGTCGCAAAGGACAGAGTGCGATGTCAAGTTATCGTTGAGATCTTAGTTGTTGAAACTTGATTAAATTAAAAGCAAGACCGAATCTACATTGGAGAGAAGCACCAATTGAAATTGATGATCTCATTTAATGCACAAACAAGTTGATTGAACTATTCGTCAAGATTGAATTTGACGGCTCTTCAAATAAAGCTATGACAGGATTGTAATTACGACAAGAAAGTGAGTCCAGTTGAATAAACAATAAAATTAAATCTTTATTGATCTTTCTGAAAAAGCACATCTCTCTTAGTCATATTTTGAATTTAATTAACTCTCGATGTTTTTCTATGTGCATTTTTAATATAGGTATACAACACATATTTCCGTATTAAATTTTCACGCTTTTACAAGTTGTTTATTTACCAGAAATTTCAATTAAATCGAGTTAATTGTAAAACTTGATTCACACACACACACACACACACACACACACACACACACACACGTATTTATTTTATCTCTCTTCTATTTCCACGTTACAGGTCCATTATGCTTCTTCTTCGAGTTTCTGATTGAAACTTGAAACCGCGTGATGCACGATCGACAGACATATCTCAAAAGTTGCAGCACTTCCAGCACGGCGAGTGTGCCATGTACGATAGAAAAGGTGAAATAACGTTTACGACGTAAGGAATATTTATTGAAAAAGGTTTTTCGCGGAAAATGCGTTGGATTTTGTTACCGTTGTTGACGTTGATACGTGCAATATGGTGCGCGCACGGCGCCTGCGAGCCGATCAGAATCGAGATGTGTCGTGGCCTTGGCTACAATGTCACTGTCATGCCGAATCTAGTTGGTCATGAGATTCAAGGCGATGCCGATTTTACCTTACAAACGTTCAGCCCGCTCATTCAATACGGATGCAGGTAAATGCTCTTTCTACGCATATCATTTTTTTTTTTATCGAATAGTATACGTTATATTATTAATATTTATTAATGGTAAAAGCGTTTTCTTTATAACTGCAATCTTATAGCAATCTTTGCTTTATAACGGATGATAATAATAACAATAATAATAATAATTTAACGAAATAATTTTTTTACGCATGCACACATTGGACACCTTGGATTATTATTTACACTTATATTTAGGTATATCGGTGATGATTTCACATTAGATAAATTTCTAATAATTAATAATATCTATCTATTAAACGCAATACATGTGTTGAAACTTTGAATAATAAATAATTTAAAAAGATGGAGGCAGAATGTTAAAAGATCTGACTTTTGCTGATCTCTGATTGTTAATAACATGTTGCAGTGCGCAATTGCATCTGTTCTTGTGTTCGGTGTATGCTCCGATGTGTACCGAGAAGGTCCCCGCACCTATAGGTCCCTGTCGAGGTCTGTGCGAACAAGTGCGGGCACGCTGTTACCCGGTTCTTCAGGGATTCGGTTTTCCCTGGCCCGCTGCATTGAACTGTTCCAAGTTTCCACCGGAAAACAATCACCAGCACATGTGCATGGAAGGACCGGGCGAGCCAGGGCCGGCTAATCCTATTCAGGTTTTTTAGCGAATATACATGTTATAAAGATGAATATCTATATTAAAAATTGTTACTCGATTAAACATTACATGTATTATCATCTAGGCGATAAGCACTAGCAACGGACCTTGGGGCTGTTCCTGGTACGCCAAGTCTGGATTATACATCTTCCTCAATCGCTCTGGAAGATGCGCCGCCGCTTGCGATGCCGATATCCTTTGGTCCCAGAAAGACAAGAGGCTCGCGGAGGCCTGGATGGCTGTATTCGTAACGGTGTCCTTAGTCTCCGTCGCGATCGCGATCCTGACATTATTGAAGCCACGCAAACGGCCTATACTGACCAGCCCCGCAGGTAAGAAAATCTTTCTCGCAAAGCGAAGTCGTTTGATTGATTCTGATTTTAATTCTGCTGTTTTGGCATTTTTTCATGCCATTGTATTTAAATTCTTCTAAAACATGGATAATAATTGCTTGCAGAGCGTGCGATAGTCTTTTTGACTATTTGTCATGCGGCAGTCGCAATTGGCTACGTGATTCGATTGGCTGCCGGCCGGCTAAACGTCGCCTGCACTCCTGTGATTCAGTTACATCCACAGGAACAAGCTGTCTTGGCCCAGCAACAGCAGCAACTGCAGCAACAGCAGCAACAGTACCTAACGCAAGATGGCCTAGCTAATCCGTATTGCGCCGTCGTTTTTCTGCTACTCTATTATTTTGGAAACGCAGCGATCGTTTGGTAAGTTTACACATTTCTTATTTTATGCATCATTTCAAGATTGATGAATGTAAACTATCGATTGGGTTGGAGGTAATAGCGATTGTTGCTTCTTGAAATCTTTTTATCTATCGTAGACTGATTTGGATTTAATTTACAAATAAATTAATTTACAAATTACGCAGAGGATGTTGATATATGTAATTTAGCTGATGCAATTTCGTTTTACTTGTTGAAAAAGGTATTTCAACAAGTTTTCTCTATCGCTATATTACTAGATTTTATAATTACGCACAAGTGCGAGAATCAAATGGTACTCTCGTATAACATGTTTCAAAGTTGTCGGGTGTTGCAGAGCGGCTTATTGCACTCGGTCAGCCTTGCTGCGGCGAGACTGCATCGTCCGCCGAGGTAGGGATAACAATCTGGCAACAGTGTTGACTCCCCTCGTGCCGCTAACGAGCCTCTGACTCCCATCCCGTCCCATCCCATCTCATCCCGTTTATACTGAGAGACTCATCTTAACGCGTCTAACGGGTGGCATACTTGAGCAAAAAATTATCCGTTCGCCTATGTATTTGTATTGATAAAAATCTCAAAATTTATACATGTGTAATGTATTGTATAAAAAAAAACTCGAGAGAGTTTCACCATATCAATGTATGCTTTTGTAGAAAATGTACTTTTTAATGCGATAAATATATTTTTTAATTACAAATTATAAAATTTGTCAAATTTTACGATTTGAAACTTCAATACTCGTATTACGATAAGAGAGAAGATCTTTGTAAAAGATTATTCTTCGATTCTTTATTTTATGTTTGTTAAATTTGTATATACTTGATTTCAGAATTTTTAGATTTTTCACAATATTCAAACTACTTGCGCTGAAACTAATGCCGTCTGTAGTCTTGAGAGTTTCATCTATGTGTATTTTTCAGAATCTTAGTAAGTACTTTGCGTTCATAAATCTTTTAATACTCGGATAAACGAAGATCACCCGGTATGTGAGATGGGTCGGGAGGAACCTTGTTGCCAGATATGCATGGAGTCAATGGCATTCCATCTTAGAGAAAGCGAGTTGCTTGAGAAGGAAAAAGAAAGTGCGAGAAGAGCAGAATGAGAGAGAGAGAGAGAGAGAGAGAGAGAGAAAGAGAGACAAGGTGGGAGATGGACGAAACGACGCTTCAGACAAAAACAAGATGATTCATATAGTATATGAATACCATTTGTGGTTGTAATTGCGCAAACGAGTTTCACAAAATCGATCATCTTATAATATCTCATGAATTTTCAAATTTATTTAAACATTCAACTGTAAATATTGAAAACTTTTTTTCATTTGTTTTTCAATCTTCATTTTCACATGTTACACTCATTGTCAGTTTACTATAATTTCTAAATGTATAGTTTCGGACTCAGGGCTTTACAAATTTACTGAAAAGTGCAAGTTTTAAATAAGAAACGCGTTCAGTACGCGGTTAAACCCCTCTATCACAAAGATCCGACCCTGAACTCGGACTACTCGGAGCCCGAATACTTTTGCGCGCCATGCAGCGCGCTGTAGCGAACTCTATAGCGTATGGCCATAATTTACATCGAAAGAGCCGATAAACATCGCGCCCTCCGGACACGAAACCACGAAGCCACGAAGCCGTGCACCATGGACCCATAGGGTCCTCCTAGCCATGCATTGTCCTGTCTCGCCTCTCGCCTCTCTTCTCTCTCCTCTCTCCTCTCGCCTTCCACTATCTCCCTTTTCACATTATTCCTGCAACATGTGTCAAGTTTACTATGCTTGAAAAGCAACGAGATTTTTAACGAGCTTTCTTTAAAAGAGAAATTATGACTTATTTGCGGAAATTCTAAAAAAAATGTTTAAACTCCATTAGAACTTTTATTAGAGCTCCGAGCAAGAATTTATGCATTTACGATAACAAAAAATTACTCGACAATCCTTAAATTTTCTATTTATATCTTCACGATAGTTGTATGAGACTAAATTGCTAATGGAATATTTTGTTAAAATTAAAGTCGTAATATAAACAATACACATACACGTACAATTTCTTAAAATTAAAAATTGTCAAATGACGATTTGATTCTCTCTCTCTCTCTCTCTCTCTCTCTCTCTCTCTCTCTCTCGAAATCTATCTATTCTGTCCTGAAAGAATCGATAATCGGCGTTGCTACGCCATTGACAGAAAGGATCGTACGGCCCCATGGTGGTAGGTAGGTAGGTAGGTAATCCGGCAGTTTCGTGTTTCCGTTTCTCTCTTTTCTCTCCTTTCCTCTCCTCTGCCTTCCAAAGTCCCTGCTCCAAGAGTTTGACGGCCGTCTCAAGAACGAGGGAAAAAGGACAAGTCGAAAGAAGGGCTCGAGGAAAGAGCTGATCCATCATCTCTCTCTCAGTGCCCACTACCCAATCGACCCAATCCCCGGCATTCCCCGAGCCTTAAGCTTAAGGACCCGGATCCGAGAATTTCTCGATAATTTATCCAAGATAAGAGCTCTACGCGCCAGTGATGAGACTGATGAGAGTGATGAGTGAGGAACGCGGCCAGTGCAGCGATGAGGAACCATCGGGCCCCGATAACAAGTCTCCAGAGTTATCTCGTCTCGCATTCATCTATTTCGAGGAAGACGGAACAGGAACGTTCGGACAAGGAACGTCACTGCGTCTTTTTATAAATACATTAACGTATCGTAAAGTATTATATTTTAAAGTATTATATTTATCCTTTTACGTTTTTTAAATACACTTTTACTACACAGCATATAAAACTAATAAAATTAAACGCGAAAACTATGTATGTGTATATTATAACTGCGTTTCGACACAGACTTTTCCATCTTTTTCTTTCCGAGCAGTGCAATTATTCGTTTTCGCATTTACATTTGCATTTGTCTTGCAATTACTTTCAAATACAACTTACAATTAGTTAAATCCCATTTGCGAATATAAATCACGCACGTAAACGAATTCTCCCATGCGAGTGAATTAGTTCATTAAGAGTAACATCAACTTTTCCGAATTTATGATCGTGAGAGAAGACCGAGTCAGTGAGGGTAAGAAAAAGACGGAGACGAAGGAGAGGATCGAGGAACCGGGAAGAAACGCGCGCGCGCGCGAGAGAGAGAGAGAGAGAGAGAGAGAGAGAGAGAGAGAGAGAGAGAAAGAAAGAAAGAAAGAAAGAAAGAAAGAAAGAAAGAGGCGTCGTTGTCGTGTATAGGGATCCCGCGGGGTATATAATCAGCGAGATGAGATGAGAGGGGTACTAGCTACCTCTTGTTTGTTTTGTTAGTTAGCGAGTCGTTAGGTAGTCTCTCCTCTCTGCCCTCCTCCTGCGACGAAGTCCGAGTTGCACGGAAACTGCGAATGCTCGACCACCCAGCCGTGTAGCAGTCTACGTCGTGACAGCGAGGTTACCGAGAGAGAGAGAGAGAGAGAGAGAGAGAGAGAGAGAGAGAGAGAAAATCTCGTGCCATAACTAATCGGCCTTATTACGCATACTTTGACATCGAGCTCGTTACTCTTTATTAATTGTTCTCACGCCTGCACATCGATCGTTATCATTAGGCCGGAAATGCCCAGAAAAATCATCCTTTTCCTCTCTCCTTTATTTTTATATATATTTAAACACCTCTAGCCTTTTTCTAATTGTTAACATGTCCTTTTAGATATTTTTTTTCTTTCTCTTTTTAAGTTTTTAAGTTTTTATCGACATTCCTCGAGTGCAATCACGTCGCTCCATTCATCACTGCGCGACCGGAATTCATCGAGTGAGTTTTTGCTTTTCCAAACGCAATAAATTCGTGGAAGGGAATTAGCGAATCTGTCGAATATCCTCGCTCCACAATTGTCAGAGATTCGACTTGATTGTTTACATATGCTCGCGCGACGCGATTTCAATGGAGATGTCAAATCGATCTTCTCGACTCTTCAACTTTTTCACTTGGCATCTTTCAGGCGATATGACGATACAGCATTGTCTAAAAATATATTTATTAAAATAGATGAATCGTATTTTTGTTAACATTCTCCAATGTGTTGAAGCAAAGGTGCGAGAGGAGTGGAGAAACCTGTTGGTAGATTTGTGGATCTACCAATGTAGATGCGCGCCAAGAGACACGGCTACCGTTGTTCGCCGAGTAAATACTACCAGATACCAGATATGTATAGTAGCGGCAAACACTCGAGAAGATTGAGACTGCTTTACGATCGAGCCTAGACTTTCGAAATTCGACGTCGGACATCGTAGCTAACCGCTTCGACAACATTCAATGTATTTGTAAAAAGAAATTATTCTTTTTAAATATAAATATGAGATTTTTTTATTGTTATACATCTCAAATTCTCTAGATATAGATCATCTGTCGCTAATGGTCTTATTTCGATTTCAAATGACGAGATTACATTGACGCGCTCACGCGTCGTAAATATCCGCGCGAAGAATCGCTTCGATGAGAGCAACGACTCGCTGAGAACCGTTTCGAAGCCTGGAATTGCTTGGAACGAACAATGGTCCAGCGGCATGCGTGCTGGTCTCGCGCATGAGAAAGAGAGAGAACGTGTCTTTCTTCGTCCTCGCAGCCTCGCACTCCTTGCAACGCAATGCAACGCAGCGCAGCGTCGTGCATGATCGTGTACTGCACGCACGTGCAACTGCATCGAGCGGTCACATCGCATATGATCACACTATCACATAGATCACACAGATCACACTGCCTATAATTCGTTCTCCCTGGCAACCAGTTATGCTCACCGAGAGAGCACGAGAGAGCCAAGAGGTTGCCTGTTGCAGTGAAAAGCCGACTAATTAATCACGCGAGTCTCTCTCTCTCTCTCTCTCTCCAACAAGATCGAAAAGCAGCGCGAACAGGTCAAACGAGGCGCAAACATTTACTCGGCTCGCACGTCACTCCATCTCACTCTCGTGCTGTGCTTGCTCCTAGTCCTACCTTCCACCTTTTACCCGTCTATAGTCCCTATAGTAGCCTATAGCCGCTCTTTCGACTCCTTTCCTTCCTTCTTTTCTTCCTTCCTTCCTTCCTTCCTTCCTTCCTTCCTTCCTTCCTTCCTTCCTTCCTTCCTTCCTTCCTTCCTTCCTTCCTTCCTTCCTTCCTCTTTTATTTACTCGAATCGCAAACTCGTATGGCCGTACAATCGATTCGAAGAAGCTTTTGAAACATGACGATTGACAATTCTACATCCATCAGACTTTGTAACCTCTGCTATTTTTGCATACTTGTAAATTTTATGTACTTAATTTTGATTATTTTAATTGTCAAAATCGTAGAATCTAATCTATTATGTATAAATGGAATTATTATTGCGAGTAACGTGCGTATAATTCCTATTTGATGTTGCATTTGGTACGATTTGGACCGCAGGTGGGTCGTAATATGCGCGTGGTGGTGCATAATGGCCAGAAAATGGACGAGAACGGCTGGCAACTACAAGGAGGATAGTTTCGGACTGCAGCAGGGATTCTCAACCGTAGCCACCGTCGCAGCTTGGAGCCTCCCCGCTGCGCACACTATCGCCGTACTGGTCACGAGGGATGTCGACGCCGACGAGTTGACCGGTAAGTCTCACTTGGTCCCACTACTCTACTCCCACTTCCCAGTCCTGTTAGATTGACTTCCCAGTCTACTTAAATTGGACATTTCCAGGAGGAATTTTATTAAAGCAATCCAACGCAATGCAACCAATACGTTTTCCTCTCCAACTTTCAATCTTTATTCGCGTTCATTAAGACATCGTTGACTTTTCGAACGTACTTTTAACTGCAGTCTACTGCTTGGAATGCTTGATTGGAACCAAGCAATGGCGCACGATATTAAAACTCACGTTGGTCAGCCTCTAAGAAGAATGCCTGGAGTGGTTTTATGGCCACGCCTCGTTATACCGTTTGTTTTATGAGGTTGGACGCCATTGGCGTAGTTAGAAATTGGATCCTTAGATTCGGGATTCTCGGGATCCTTATAATCTTCAATCGTTTGTTTTTTTTTTATCCTATTTTTACTTATCTCTCTATTCCTATCTTTACCTGTCCTTGCCATCTAGTCCCTTCATCGATCTTAATTCGATTGGTCCAGTTGAGAAGGCTATTTTATGCTAATATGCACCGCCGTGCCGCGCTCTCTCGTATTTACGTTCTCGATAAGTTATGCTCGAGAAACGACCAGCCGAGATTAGCATCTTCGAATTAAACGACCGGTTCGGAGCGTAGCGACACAATTCGATTATTCTCATACCATTAATCATTATATTTGCCCTTGTAAATACGAATAATACGAATATGTAAATACGAATAATACAAATAAGTACAACACGTACGTGAATTAACTTTATACTGAAAAATATTAGGAAATATATCTTTGAATCTATTTAGTTTCTCTATTTAGTTGATTCGCGCTCGATGTTTCTCTTTGTGCTCTGTTTGGATCATGGGCAGGAGAG